CCTTACCAAATCAAATACTGAGGAGGTTCCAATTTCTAACATAGTTACAAACGTATCTGATACAGGTGTACTTGTTTCTACGAGTGTTGAAACATCACAGTCACTGGTTACTCAAGGTATTACTAATCCATCTCTTTCCGAACCTATTTCAAGTACTTTTGTTTCACTTCCACCTTTTATTCAACACATTTCCACTACCACTACTTCACCCACTTTTGATCAAGTATTACAACAACCCATCACTACACTTTTCCAATCACAATCCACCGATCCACCAAAACCAAATTCCGATGATGAAACAGAGGGAAGAGGTTTCGGAGGAACATTTGATGATTTGGAATTTGATTCCGAAGAGGAGAACATACCTAATCATATGTTGATGTCGGGGAAGCAGTTCAAGATTCTTAATCGAAAACTCAACTCTATTTTACAATCACAAGCTGATTATAGAGCCAATTATTTGGTTTCGGGGATAGAAGTTGATGTGATGCTTAAGGCTGTCGAACTCAGAATGCAAAGGCAGTTGGACGTACTTGATAATAATAATGCGATACGAGTCAAAGCTCAAGCTGATTCGTTTGCTTCAGAAATAAAGGAGCATCGAAATGTTGCAAAAGAACGCCATGTTCTTTTTGTACAAGATGTTAAGAAAGTTCGTGAAGATGCCAACCAGAAGATAGAAGAGTTAAAGGTTGATGTATCGAAAGAAATAAACACTTTGAGTACAAATTACTCATCCATCTTTCGAAGGTTGACATTATAGAAGGAGCAGTAACAAACTTCATTCAGACTTTTCAGTCGACTATTCCTTCTATCGAAGCCAAGGGTAAAGAAGATATGGCTCAGTTCGACCAATTGAAGGTGTTTCTTAGCGAACTTAAAGAAGTTGTCTCAAAGCCTGCTCCACACTTCTTCTTAACTCCTGAATTTTTAACTCAGAAGTTACATAGTTTGGATCAAGCTATTCAGAAGGCTGTGTTCCAATTACGAAATTTGCCAACATGTTGCCTACTGGTGCCCCTCCTGTTGTCACATCGGTGAAAGGGGGAGAAAAGAAAATTCAAGATGGCAAATCTTCGAAATTACAAAAGGGGTGGAAAAGTTGAAAAAGATTGAGAAGATTGTAAATACTTGTGAATTAATGAAAGTTGAATCTACTCAAGTCCCAACACCTATAGTTTCAGAGGTGATTACAACAGAAGCCATCAAGACAACAACAAAACCTATTATGAAGGGAATTGTTATGGGCTCTTCTACTGAAGGAGGAAGTTCAAGTTCTTCTAAACCAAAACCTTCTGATAATGATGGAAAAGGGAATGAGATTTTGATTGAAAAATCGAAAGAAGAGAAGAAGGTCGAGATTGAAGCTGAAATGGAGAAGCAAAGGCAGTTACAAAGCATACTAAGACTTCGTGAAAGTGATCCACCTGGTATGGATAAGGGAGATCCAAAGAAGTTGTACAGCTATGAGAATATTGAAGTAAGAGTTGCTTTCAATCGCATGTATGCATTTGAGAAAAATCCTAAGAAAAGCTATTCTATCACTAACACTGATATGAGTCAGCTTGATTTTCCTGTGAATGAAATGATGTTTATCATGGCTCAGTACAAGATAGTTGAGAAGTTCGACAACGAGGATGATTTTATTCATATGAAACTTAGGTTTCATGCAGTTGTAGGAAAAGAACTAGAAGAAATATGGTCATTAGTGAAGATCAAGAAGGTTATCACTATAACAAAAGATGTATTGTTCGAGAATATGATACAGAATTTTCGGTATCATGCTGTAAGGGCGAACAATCAAGTTTGTGATTGTTGGTTACACGAGGATGATTTTATTCATATGAAACTTAGGTTTCATGCAGTTGTAGGAAAAGAACTAGAAGAAATATGGTCATTAGTGAAGATCAAGAAGGTTATCACTATAACAAAAGATGTATTGTTCGAGAATATGATACAGAATTTTCGGTATCATGCTGTAAGGGCGAACAATCAAGTTTGTGATTTCTCATTTGCTGATTTTGCTCTAATGAACTTGAATGACCTGATTCAAGTTGCATTAATTTTGAAAGACATGGAGGCTTCGCAAATTCAAGGGACTGACAAAGATGTATTTAGGCTTGGTCTTGCCCATATCAAAATCTTCATAGACAATTACTATGATTGTCTAGCATTGACTGGTGAGGAGTTAGCATCAACAATGGGAAGGGAAGTGAAAGTTTCTATGGAATTGTCGAAGACCCAAGCTGAACTGAAGAAATATGATGGTGGGGAGATATGCTTAAAACCTTTTGGATTGGTCTTTGCAGGAAAAGATAAGAATGGCAAAGCTAAGAGGTTTTTGTTCCAAGCAAGTGAAGTGGAAAGATACACTACATCTCAATATACGAACTTCATTGTTCGTATGAATAATTGCAAGAAGAATAATGATGGAGATAAAGCGGAGTTAAAGAAAATTTTGACATGGTACTCGGAGATACGAAGGATAATGCACTTTGATGTACAGATTCTCACGAATTGAGAAGTTCGACATGATTACAATGGGGGAGATTGTAGAGTCAAAATATCTTGTAATATGTCGAAGTCTGTGTATTTGTCACTTTCGTATGTTTTCTATGTATTTGCTAAGGCATCTTTTTTTAACGAAGCATAATGTCTAGCCTTAGTATTTTTGTACTTTCAGCCTCCTATAAATAGGAGCTGAACATAGAGTTGATAGTAGAGTTTTCCCATTTTTACTATCAGTTTTGTACTCTTGTTCTCTGAAAGTAATATGAGCTAAACCAGATATTATTTACTTTGTGTGTTCATATTACATCGTTTTACTCCGATTTGATTCTCATACTCGATTAAACACTTCTACAAAGAGAAGTGTTCAAGAAGTGTACCTTGAAATTGAGACTTCATAGCCATATAACTGTTTCTAGTAACAAGTTCCAGTGGAACATTCTATATTATCGAAGGCTCAGTCTATGTGACTTTAGAACCTCCACATCACAGGAGGTCAATTCATGTAAAGTTGGAATTCCACTATATCTTGGATAGTGATAATAATTTGGAATTGTGAAATAAGCATCATTGGAGTAATGTCCAGTCGGTATGTTCATAAAGGAAGGACCATCGAGAGGCATAGTATGCATGTTTATAACATGCCATGGCTGGTCTGATTTAATTCAAGTGGTTAGTTGGTTACATAAAAATATATATACAATGGATAAATTCGTAATTGTTATATTTATTAGATAATAGGGATTTATTTATATTCAAGGGTATGATACCATAGTTAATTAGTTTATTATTGTGTTTCACTATGCATATTTAGTTTCCTGAGTAATTTAAATGTTATTCAAAATTCCACAGCCGGTCATACTTTTGAGAGTGGGTAGTTAATCAAGACTGTCATGAATCATTTGTATATTGTCCACAGGGATTGGACATTGCATAAGGATTACTGCAATATACATGAATACTTAGAAAATAGAGATTTGAGTATTGGATAAACCCACACTTAGATATTACTTCATGGATTCAATCACAAGTCATTCTAAGACGATAATATCTTTTATTCTTCAAACGTAGATACATAAGTTGTAATTTGCAAGTCAGTTGTGCATTGGTATTACATAAACACATTAGTAACTTGATGTTATAAAATGTAGTTTTATGTGCAATTTGATGAGTAAAGTTAATAATTATGTAGTCAAAATTTATTTGTTCCTTTTTCCTTAACATGAAAGGCGATATCTTTGAGCCCCTCGGTGATTTGAGTATATCTATAACAAACAGGTGATGTGAATATTAAATGCACTAGTTTTTTATTTATAATTCCTAATTTATCGTATCTAAACCACACCTTACAGGCAGTGAACCCGATCGAGTATAGTATAGCTTTGATAAGCAAGGGTGTCGAACACAAGGGGAACAGTAGTGAATTAATTTAAAATATTTGATTATAGGTTACACAAAAAACACAAAAGCAGTAAAGAAAAGGTTTATTAAATCTCAAACAAACAACTAAATAGCAAATCTCAATAAACTGATAGGAAGACAAATCTCTTTAGGTACTTTGGTTTAGACAGATTACATCTTTAAATCATAGATAATTGCACACACAGATTTATTTATTCATGTTTACCGATTTCTAAAATGATTAGGTTCACGTTCGCTATTACTAATCCTTTAGCAAACAAGTCAATTCAAGCAGTGATCAGTTGATTAAACTAATAGGTTTCCTAGTGTTCAGTTCGTATCAAGCAAGACTTGTATTAATAGTTAATCAAATTACTAATTCAATTAACCTCTTGTTGATGGTTCGTCGCACAAGGCTCACACATTAACTTACTTATTTCCTAGTTAACCCTAGTTTCACGTTCGTTATTCCTAGGCATATAATCTTGATGGTCATCAAAATCATAAGAGGCAAGCAATCAAGCAGATGTTCATACAACTCAATATACTTAATACTTAACAGAAAATAATTGGCATTAACACATAAGGATCTTTTAACAAGCTTGGCAAGATAAATTAAACATTAATAAACAATCCAATATAACAATTAATCCACAAATCAAGGTTTTACCTAATCATAAACTCAAAGCAAATGGTTTTGACAACAAAATCAGAAAGTAAAACGTAGTAGTATCACAGCGGAATGCTAAGCATGGTCACATTAACAAACCACATGATTACCGACACAAATTCGCTCTCTAATCCTTTAGATCTTCGCTCTTGTCAGATTAACGGCCTTCCGGCCGCCTTCTAGACCCTCAAAACGGCTTACCAGAAGTTACTTGTCGACTAAAATAGGTTAGAAGTCGGAATCCCCCCTTAGAACGAATTAAATGTCGATATATAGCAACTTTACACTGCCAAACGAAGGCAACACATAGGTCCAAGGAACGCAGGGCGTTCCTCCAAGCGATTCCGTAATCACCAAGTCACGAACGCAACGCGTTCATCATGGGAACGCAGGGCGTTCGGCCCGCTTTCAGCCCAATTCTTCATATTTGCAGTTCAACTCTGTTTTCTCGGGATTTTTGCTCCATTTCCGCTCCAACAACATATAATAGCTCTAAATTGCAATTCAAAACATTATAAGTACATTTTAGTTCTAAATAAGCATAATAAAAGCTAAAATATTAAGATATGATATATAAAAATATGTATAAAAACACACATATCAACAGGCTTGGTTCGGACTGAATTGATATGTTTAATTTTCTAGTCTGAATTTGACCATAAAGTCAGAGACCAAAAAACATACAAATGATCATGAGGTTGATCATTTAATCCATGACTCTGCTCATACGATATCTTATAGAATGAAAGAATATTTTTCACTTATCTTATGGTCAACGTTTTATTTGAATTAGAGTTCAACAGTGGTTTTGGAAAGCAAACTTTGTTGTTTGGTTCAAGGTTATACTTGCAATTGTAGTTATAGACTTATCTAAATAGGAGTCTGTTGGATTAATTTGTCTAAGCTCATAACTAAATTGATATATTCTTGTAATTAAAAGCAAAGTCTTTTGTGGGTTGTCCTCATAACGTGAAATAACTAGAAATGATATTAGGAGAGGAAGGAAATGAGTTGTTAATATATTATATGATTAATATACTAATTAGAAATAGATAATTGATTTGTTAATTTATTATGTGTTTAATAAATTAATATGACATCAATAGTTAAATCGTTGATTTGTTAATATGATTAATAAATTAATGTGAAATCAATAAGCATTAATTAATTATTAATCATAATTAATCTAGAATTAATTTGAGATTAATTGGAATTAATTAAAGGTGTAAGGGGTGAATTGTAATTGTTCAATAGTTGAACAAAAGAAGCAATTCTAGAAACCTCCATGGTATGGATGGTTTTGGAGGGATTCCTAGAGTTTCCACAAGCCTCCTAGTTTCATATAAGAAAAAGATTTAAAATGAGATTAAATTTATTATTTAATCAATTCAAATTTGGTTTTGTCTGCAAATTACCTAACCTATAAAAAGGACCCCTTGGGAGCCAAATTTCATGTATAACCTTTCCAAGAAGAATATGAACGAAATTTTCCTTCTCCTTCCTCTCTTTCCTCTTCATTCTAGGGTTTCTAGGATTTTAGGTGGAGCCATTAGAGACATCATACTTTTGGTGCTAGCTTTCAGAGATTCACCAAGGAAGGGATTCAAGGAATTTTTTTACTAGGACAATTCAAAGGTATGTAACCCTAACTTGGTATTTCCGATTACATTAGGGTTCATGTTAGGTTTTATTGTCCATTGTATGTTACCTTTAAAGTGTTATGACATAGATCCTTATAGGTTGCATATGCCCTTAAATTTTAAATAATTTTTTGCATGTACATGTATTTTATAATATATAAAGCCCATCAGATCCCCCTCTATCACCGACCAACTTATTTTCGTCTGTCAACCGAAGTGTCCGTAAAATCCAGAGCTTAGATAATAAATTCAAAGTGGGACTATGGAGGTAAAAGAAACAATTAATACAATAAAGGATAACATACCTTGTAAGTAGCTCTTATAATAGGGACTGTTCATTTTGAGCCCATTCAACCAACATAAACTTGTAAGAGCTTCCTTCCGAAACCTAATAATCCCAAAGAGTGAAATTAAAAGACGACGGGAACAAACGTGGAATCAACATAATTGCTTATATCGAGGGACATTGTGTATTCACCTTCTACCGGAAGAAATGTAGAAGGAAGAGCAGAGTATCATCATGGTTCGTCGTCTCCGAAAGACCCCCAAATCGGAAACAACAGATGCTCTGCAGTGCAGCCCGTCAACTGACCTACCTTGCAGTGCCCCAACATCAACAACCTGCCGACAAAAGGAGTCGATGGAAATTGGGGGAGCGATAGCATACAGGGGAGTGGTTTACTCCGGTGTTTCTTGACCTTACGGGTCGAAATAGAAAACGAAAATTGTGTTTCTCTTGAAAGGTAATGAAATGATAGAATTGGAAAGAATAAGGCGGTGAAAAGTATAACAATCTGATTGCGGGACATTATAAAACGTGTCAAAGACAGATCAACAGATGACTCATCTATGTGTGGCAAACTGAAAGAAGGAAAAAAATGAAAGGTCAAAACTGTGTCAATAAGTCGAATTAAAACACGTTAATCCATTTCATATTTTTCAATGAGAAATATTTTTTATAATTTATGTCTTTTAGGCAAATGTTACAAAATCTAAAAATAATTAAACAAATAATTACTTTTACAAAAGTTTAGGATGCAATAAAGAATTTCTAGTGCCTTCAAATTAATCAACTGGTAGTCTTATCTCTGATAATTAACAACATAAAAAACGATTTTGGTCTTGATCTATTTTACAAGTATGACTGCTTAAATCTTCGTCAATTAATGTCCCTCTCCTCCATGACTAGTACCAGAATTCTTCAGATCCCACAAAATTTCAGAAATCGTTACCGTATCTACTTTGCCACCCCATCGTGGGCCAGAGTTCAAGATATTCCCAAGAGTTTCAACACTGCTAGGGAAGTCATGGCCCTTTTCTCCTCCTCTTCGTCCGGTAATCTTTATCTTAGAATGGATTTTAACAGTAGTAAATTCATGCCCCTTCCCCCCAGAACTTGGACCCGAGTTCTTGATGTTTCCAAAACTTTCAGCATAACGAAATCCGTGTCCTTTACCACCTGGACTTGGACCAGAGTTTTTGATATTGCTAAAAATCTTATCGTTGGTAAATTCATGTCCCTTCCCTACAGGACTAGGCCCTGAGTTCTTGTTATTTCCTAAAGACTTACCACCTGGAAACTCATGTCCCTTTCCTCCTGGGCTTGGACCTCCTCCACTTTTAATTGCCGCAAGACTGATTATGTCTAATTGTCTATTGTACCAGTTATTGCCTCATCGTCATAGTTAATAGGATTGAATACATTCATTGGACGAGCTGCTATACTGAAACTTAATGAGGTGAGAAACAGAAGAACTTTAGTGATAAGGTAGTAACTTGCCATTACTGAGTTTGTATTGGAAATCGAAGATAAAAAAAAAATGGCTCTTTAAGGATTTATATTAATTTGGAGAATGAAGATGTTTTGATTGTTAATGAATGTTGAGAGAAGATCAAAGAAAATATATGTTTTGTAAAAATGGCATGAAGGTGATCGTCTATATATAATACGTAATATTCATGCATGCAAAAGTGACAAGAGACCTGGTCCAAAAGCTACCCTACCATAAAAGAAGTATGTTATATGTTATTAGGACACGTGAGTTAAATAATTTGAATAGGGTTATATATAATTGTGACGTGAAGCCGCCGGTGTATATTCGAGAATCGGGAGAAGAGTATTACAGGCGTTGAACTTCAGCTTTAGATAACGGGATTTCAATTAGGTCTGGCAATAGAGCGGGTTTGGAGCGGATCGGCCTTGATCCAAACCCGTTTAACAATTTTCAAATGATGATCCAAACCCGGCCCGTAACTCGCAGGGTTTTGAATGATTAAACCCATACCCTTATCTACCGGATCAACGGATTTCAACCCTTTTACCCGACTCATTCACAGTATTAAGTTTAGACTATAATTATTCATTAAAACACATATAACATGATCACTAAAACCAAAAAAATTTCACTCCAAAACAAACATCAGTTATAGTTATATAAATAACTTTTCCAATGTATTATGATTGTGGAATGTCGATCACTCGATTGCGGCATTTTCTTCTTCTTGATCCTTGATTGAAACCCTTTTTCTTCTTGCTCTTGAGTCTTGATTATGGAATATCGATTTCATAGTCGATTTTAAAAGATTATAGAGTCGATTATATTGGGAGTCGACTACAATCGGCAATTTGGATTAGGAACTGAACTGGGAAGTTGAAGTAGAACGTTTAACAGTCTAACTCCTTGACTCCTATATGTAAAGATTGATAAATGTATTATTTATTATAAATAATTAATTTATATTTGAAATTTTTAGATGGGGCGGGTCATAAACGGATCGGATCGATAGTGATCCATACCCGACCATTTTAATAAAAGGGTTAACGGGTATGGGTCGTTAACGGGTAAACGAATCATAAAATATGATCCAAACCCATTAATTTTGTACGGGTTTGGAGCGGATTAGGGTCAAAACCCGCTCCATTGCCAGGTCTAATTTCAATTGTCAAAGGTTTATGGGAGATATTTAAGGAAAATTTTATGTTAGTGCCTACACCGGACACCCCACTTCAAAGGCAATATTTTTGTCGTAAATCGTAATAGAATAGAAAACAATACTACTTGTTTGCTACTTTTGTTTACAATTTCTTTTATATATACGAAATACTGCCGCGTTGTCTCTTTGACTTTTTTTGACGCACCAAGACTATCGTAGTAGCTTACGCAAAATTAGAAGATTTTGAAAATTCAACATGCTACCCGTAGCATCTTAATGGTAATTTTTATAAAATTTATGACTATTTGAATTTGGATAAACCATTGTATATATTATTATCATTAGAATATATAGTTTCAAAGAATAATTACTCCAACCATATAAAATATTCTAAAACTATCAACTTCCTACTAATCTTTTAATTGTGTCTCATCACTTTTTACAATTAACACCTACATAGTGCAATAACAACACTTTTTTAAATGACACCAATAACACACAACTAATTTACAATTTTATATTTATAAAGGGAGAGAAAGCATATTTGAGATAGTTGGGACCCAAATATGTTATTGATAGTGGTGATGTGGCTCGTACATGTCACTTGAAAGAGCAATTTCCACAAACGTTGTGGATGCCCCAATTCTCTTAATCATGTTTTGTACACTTTGGCCTCAAGATTTGATTTGAAGAAAATGGTCACTTTCGTCCCTATGGTTTGTCGTTTTTTAGGGTTTTGTAGACCTTGCAATTCGTGTGTTCATATCGTTTACTCATGTCAACCATGAATTTGACAGGACATGAATACATGAAGAGAAGTAAGTTTCATCTTCCTTTTCAATATGTATTTGTATTGTGTATCCGTATCGTCCCGTGTCACTCATGAGTGCGTGTATTCGTGTCTCAAATTGCTAGGTCTAGGGTGTTGGTTCCCATGGTTCAAAATTACAAATTTAGTCCTTATCAACAGGTTCATTGGGATTTTGGTCTATGTAAAAATTAAAAAATAAAAAAAACCGCTTTATACTTTTAGTTTTGTAACATCCCGACTCCCAGATATAATATTTAATTAATTTACTTTTAAAATTTCAGAGCAACTCAACGAGTTGGATGCCCCAACTCGCCGAGTAGAAGTAGGGGTGACAATTTATGACACGGCACGACAAAAGTACACGACACGAAACGAAATTGGGACGAAACTAAAAATTAAATTCGTGTTCGTGTCGTGTTCGTGTTAGCTATAAAAAACACGATGCCGTGTCGTGTCGTGTTCGTGTTCGAAATTCGACACGAAATCGACACGATTTAGCAGTTCTTTATCGTGTTTTCGTGTTTGTCGTGTTTATCGTGGTATATTTGATAAATTATTCATCAAATAAACTAGTTTTTAGTATATGTTATATTTGTCGTGTCGTGTCGTGTTTGTCGTTTTTTACTTTGTTCGTTTTCGTGTTAGTTAAAAAAAACACGACATCGTGTCGTGTCGTGTTCGTGTTATAAAAAACATTGTCGTGTCGTGTCGTGTCAGACAGAAACACGAAACGATAGCACGATTTGCCACCCCTAAGTAGAAGAGTTATTGGCCGCGTGATTTTTAGAGTCTACTCGACGAGTTGGAGGACCCCAACTCGACGAGTAGGTGTTGAGTGAGAAAATCCTAATTTTCAGGGTTTGTGTCCTATTTAAAGGACCTTAAGCCTTCATATCTGCCTCCCTTGTCACCTTAGAGCTCTGTGAGAAACCCTAAACAAGCTTCATTCGTTGTGAGAGAGAGGTTAAATTTGGTTATTCTTGGGTACTTTAGGAAGGAGATTGAAGAGCAACACAGCTTGGAACGAGGAGGGAATTTTGGATCCAGTGTTCTTCAATGTTAGCTTCTGTATAGAGGTAAAAGGCTATCAACTTGACCATTTCTTTTGTTAGGTCTCTTTCTAGGGAGTTTTGGGGTTTTCTCCCATCCATCTTTTGGTTATTGAGTCACTTGAACATGACATGAGATTGAAACATCAGATCTGGACTGTAGGAGGTCCTTTGAGCACAAAGATCCAAGCTTTATTAAGCTAGAGGCAAGCTTTTATGCATTTAACCCTATATAGAGCTTATGTTGGCATTTCCAGCCCTAGATGCCATGCATGGACGTAAAGCTTGCAGCTTTACGTGCTATTTCAGCCTTGGGAGGCTAGATATAGAGTTTGAGACCTTATTTATGCTTACAATCGTCTGAATGAGAAGTTGTCTACGGAGACTCGATGAATGCATGAGCCAACTCAATGAGTCAGCTAGGGTTTTCTCGATGGACTGTACGCGCTACAACTCGGCGAGTTGATGAGACAACTCGATGAGTTGAGTTGGATTTTCCCGATATTCCATAGAAAAGAAGGAACTCGATGAGTTGCATGGGTGCACTCGATGAGTTTAGTCAACATGGACTGTTGATTGGAGCATTGATTTTCGTTGACTTTTAGGGGTTAGTCAACTGTGGACGTTAGTAACCATGGAAGGGTAAAATGGTCTTTTCACCCCGTCTTGAGATTTAGTGGAGGAGTTAGCTTAGCATCTCAAGTGGTTATTACAATTTGCTTATTAGAGATAATTATATTATGTAGGCGGAGTCTAGACTTTCGTGGGGTGCTAGATCTACTTCCTTACTTCCGAGGTGAGTCTTTTCACTATACTTACCTGAGTGGTAATACTGAGTAACCGGAGGGTCTTATTTGAGTTATCGATTTATATTGAGTTATGTGATATTGTGCATTTTGTCTTTGTGATATATGCTATATTATTCTGTGTTTTACTTACATAGGACTGAAGGGTCCAACCCGAGCAGTGAGACCAGAGGGTCCTCACTGAAATACAGGACTGGAGAGTACAACCCGTTTTGTGAGACCAGAGGGTCCTCACTGAGACACATGACCGGAGGGTCCACACCGAGCCATGAGACCGGAGGGTCCTCACCGAGACGCATGAGACCGGAGGGTCCATGTCGAGTTATAGCCATGAGAGGCTTATTATTTGAGTATGTGGTATTTTGGGGAACTCACTAAGCTTCGTGCTTACCGTGTTGTGTGTTATATGTTCCAGGTACTTCTCAGGATCGCGGGAAGGCGTCAGCTTGATTGTACGCACATGTTTGAGATTATGTTGAGGATTCTGGGATATTATCATTTGTTTTGTTAAATCGTGTTTTTGATATTTGATACATTGTGATTTTGAGAAAATGTGATACTGATTTTATGTGATTTAAAAATGAAAAATTTGTTTGAAAATTTAGAGCGTTACAAGTTTGTTTTTTTTACATTTCTACTCTAATAAATAAATAAATAATTTTCACATATCGTATTCTTATTCATTTTGTTACATGTCATTTTATGGTTATTTTAAATTAAAATTTTCTCACATGTCATTTTATGGTTTTTTCCATTTTATTAAATTTCACATAGCATTTAAATGTTATAATTATAATAAATGGATAACATTTTCATTAGAGAGAGTTTGAGTAATCTAGGAGAGATACCTAGATGAGCATTGAGGAATCTACCGGGAGAGTAGTCAAGTGTTGGATAAGTGTCTAAGTCCATAACTATATTTGGTATGTACTTGACCCGACCCGACATGGTCCATTTGGGTTGCATGACATCATGCATTTGGATAAACTAAAATGAGTGAAATAACACTTGTGATTTATTAATATATTATAAGTTCTAATATATTAATAGTATTATTTTATTAGTATTGATCAAGAATTAATTTGGAATTAATTAAGTGATCAAAAGAAGACTAATTAAATATATGGGTTAATTATGTAAATCATCCATACTTGTATAGTGGACTAGATGCTCCATGCATTATCAAATTGGGCTAAGGTCCATAGGATGCTCCATGGATGCTCCATGGGAGTTACAAACCCATGGGTCATGGAAATGAAGAGTCATGTCACATTAGGGTTTACATGGTGTAACCCTAGATGTGACACACTATATAAAGAACATGTTGTCATCCAAAATCGGCGACACTAAGAAAAGAAGAGGGCAAGCCGATTTTTGAAGTGTTATACATTCTCTCAAAGTTTATTCCAAGAGCATTTGGTGTTGTGTGAAATATTTGAGGCATCACACTTGGGGTGCTAGGCTCTCAAGGTTTTCAAGGAATCAAATCAACTACAAGGTATGTAATTCTAGTTATCTTTTATGTTAAAAGTTCCCCATGTATGCTAGATAGTATTATGAACCTTGGAAATCAATTTTTGCATGTATTTTAGACAAACATAGATCCAAGGTTTTCTAGGGTTGCATGTACACTTAGTTGTGTTAGAATGCTCATAACCCATCAGTGGTATTAGAGCCTAGGCTTGTTTGTTAATACTTGATGCAAAATAGTGAAAAAATCGAATTTTTGAGCTGTCTGCACAGGGGACTCGACGAGTCCATGGGGGGACTTGACGAGTCCAAGTGAAACTGCATCCAACTCGGCGAGTCAGTTCGTGCACTCGACGAGTTGGCCAGGCAGAGTGCAAAATTTCGATTTTTGCTGCTGGAAATGGACTAGAAACATTACCCTAAACTGTTTTTGTGTTTTAAAACTTGTTTTAGATGGTGTAATGGTTGTTCTAATCCATTTACAATGGCTAATATCAAAATTGCATTACTATATGTGTTCATATGTTCTTGAAATTTTGATATGAATATTCATGTTCTTATGAGTTCTTGATAGATCATAGGAATTACTTGATTAATGCTTAACTCATGATCTTTATGTGTTTTAATGGAGTCCATAACTTGTCCTCAAGTTATGGATAACCAAAAGTCGTTAGTGGAGCGTGTGTGGTTAACCGACACACTAACTTGGACTTAACAAGGTAGGTAAAGGGTGACTTAAGGTTTATTATAGGTTGGTGGAGCGCGTGTGGTTAACCGGCACATCGATTGAGTGATAAACTTTAAGGGTACCAAGTAATTTGCATGGTTACTTCACACCTCGTTTTGTGATCCTCGGTATCCCAGTCACGAAACTTGGAGGGCACATTCGAGATTGAAACATGCCTTTGAAAAGTTCATTGAATCTCAAAAAGAATCTAGGAATTTCTAAGAACCAATTAAAACCTAATATTTATATTTCGGTTTTGGTGGAAATTGGTGAATCGTCATTCACCTATCTTTTCTTTTGATAATGAAGTTGGTGGAATAAATGCTTTCTTTAATAATGTTCTTTATTTTAAAGCATTACCTTGTGATGGTGTGTATGAAGCTGTATCTGTTGTAGATAATCTAGGAAATAATGTGTTGTGTATTGATTCTTCTAGTAATACTAACTTGGATAAAGCATCATTATGGCATTGTCGTCTTGGACATGTGAGCAAGAAACGCATAGGCCAACTCCAAAAGGATAGAGTCTTGGAGTCATTTGACCTTAAGTCAGATGATAGTTGTGAATCATGCTTACATGGAAAAATGACAAAGTCACCCTTCACTAGTTCTTGTGCTAGGGGTGAAGGTTTGTTGGATCTGGTACACACAGATGTGTGTAGACCCTTCAAATATGCCACAAGGGATGCTAATCGTTATTATTTGACTTTTACTGATGATTATAGTAGATATGGATATGTCTATTTAATCAAGCATAAGTCAGAGACTTTTGAAAGGTTTAAAGAGTTTAAACA